GCATTCGGTAGCCGTTTTCACCAACGAAGACAAGTCCAGAGGTCAATTTTTTTTTTTCAAATTAGTATACATTACATTAGCTTTAATTTAAGATATATATAAAAGTGTCAGACCTTCCGGAACATTTTCAAAAGTTAAGTTGAAAAAGTTAATTTTTTGTGAAAAAGTTGTCATTTTAAATCCCCCCCTGTGGGCAGAAAAAAGGTCAAATTTACAAAAAAAATATAGCAAATGAAAGGAAATGATATCATGCAGCTATATAAAAAAAAATTATATTGATATTATCATTTTTGAAAAAGTTACGGCATTTTTTAGTAAAAAAAATTGAAAAAATTTCGAAAATTAGCGATTTTTAAATTTGTAATTTTTTTGGAGGTTTCCCCCATTTACGGGGAACGAGGGAAATTTTTTCAATTTTGAAGGGTAATGTCTTCGACTAGATACAATTTGTGATCTTTTGACGTATTGTTGAAAGAAATCCGTTCGGTGAGAGCTGAGAAAAAGTGGTAACAGACACAAAAAAAAAAAAAAAAGAATAAACATTCATCATCAATCAATCATAGTAAAACCAATACCTTCTCAGCTTTGCATCGAAGCTAAAATATAATAGGCGATTAGCGCCATTTATTCTAGCGGCTGTTCTATATAACATCAATGAATTCCTTTATTACTCAATTCGTTTTTAACTTCTGGTTTAGCTAAAAGTTTATGCAATTTTCGAAGTTGTCGATTAACCGCAACAAAGTTTTTGCCATTATCTGAATCTGATCCCCACAAGTCGAGCTTTTGACCAAGATTTTCTGGAGCTTTAATATTACACACTAATGCATAATGAATACGTCGAGTTTCTTCGACACTTTCTTGATATATTGGGTTTAAATCAAAAAGTGACTTAGTATGCAACTTAGTATTAGTATAACGTTCTTTTAAACTTTGCCAGGAGATTGTAAAAATGTCAGAAGTGGTAGGTAAACACTGTATTACCTTAGTAGCTCTCCACCTAATGAAGATCGTAAATAAAAAACTTTTGCATATTATTGAGATTGTTATTCTCGTTGATCGAGGTGGAAAACATATAAAACAAGTATTGCCACTCAGAATAAATTCCAGAACATTTAGGTTGATCAATTGGTGGTAACTTAATTATGGAGGATATAAATTGCTGTTAACGATATATCAACATTTTATTTAGGTCTAAATGAATTTAAAAAATAATAATAGGTTCTCTTTAACTTTGGAAATCTATTTTTAATATTTACCGTCAGAAATAATCATTTCTTACTGTTAACTTGATATTTATTGTGGTTCATTAAAATAAATCAAATTTTAATTAATACATTTTTATGAAAAAATTATTCTTTAATAAAACAAAATTCGGAGTGACATATTTAATAAATCATAATGTATATTCGAATATAGTTAAGAAAACACCATAAAAATAAAGTACAAACATTAACAATTTTATCATATTTAATAATTTCAGTTTTTTCTTATATATCCAATATTATTTATTAGGAGAAATAATTTTATGACAAACTTTTAATTTATTGACCATTTTTATATTTAACCAAATTTAGAGGTGGCTTTCGATTAACAAAAATTTTCGGTTTTTCTGAAATATTACCGAAAATTAAAAATAAATAGATATTATTTTCTATATCTCATATTTCTTGGTTAATGATTAGATTTACAAAAAAAGTATGTCATCAGCAAGGCAAATATCTAAAATATACTCAATAGAAATTTCGTAAGGATGCGCCCCATTAAAAAAAAATAATAAATTGGTAGAACCAAGGCTGCTTTAATTTTAGTTTGACAAAATTTGATTGTACCATTTTATAAATTATGTTTTTAAGGTGTCCACAGTATATTTAAACATTTTAAGCTGAATTTCAGTTTTTTTTATTATAAATAAATGTATTTTAAGCGTTTTTTTGGAAAACATATTAATATATAAAATTTAGCTCCCAATTTAAATTTCAATATTTGAAAATAGAGTTTAAGATTTTTTTTTTTTAATACTTTATTAATAATTTATCAATGTAATAAAAACTAAATTCATAAATATCAATATTACTTTT